CTTTGGGCCCTATAAAGTCTGGGATTGTATTCTGGGGAATTAATCCAATATGTGGAAAATGATATACATGAAGACATTCATGCCAGTGTTTTAATTAAAAGAGCAAAAGTGGAAGCTACCTTAATGTTTCACAATAGAACAATGGTTAAGTAATATTTGGTACACAAAGCATATGATAGAACATTGCTTTAAAAAATGGGAAAAAACTTATATATAACTTTAATATTAGAGAATAAAGTAGGACAAAAAATTATAGGCACATAATTATATTAAACATATGAAATAAAAATATAGGAAGAAATATACACACCAAAAAAATCAATTGTAGGGCCAGCTGAGTGGCTCAGTTGGTTAAGACCTCGCTCAAGAGTTTGAGCTCTTAGCAACAGTGGTTTGAGTCCCGGCCCAAACTGAGCAGCCACTGAGCTGCCAACAGGTGGCAGGATGGCTCAGCTAAAAAAAAAAAAATCAATTGTATGAGGGTAATAAAATAGTAGGCTATCTATGCTTCTAGTTTTAGATATTTATATATTTTTAAAATGCTTTTAACCTCATTTCAAATGCTCTCATATAGCATTCAAAGGTTATGGGTGGACAAAATCTGTCATCAGAATAAAAACTGAATCATGGAGAAAGCCGTTGAATGAAAAAGAAGTTTCAACTTTAGAAGATGTGTGTGACTTATGAATATTATCTCAATTATAATTTAACAATCACTGAAGAAGCACTACATTAAACTCCAAATATTTTTTTCTGTTTTACCCTCTCCTCCATCAAAAATAAATAAATTAATTAATTAAAATACTAAATTATCATTTAATTGTGAAACTAATAATTCCTCCCTTTTTTTTTTGTTTGTTTGTTTTGATTTACATGCTAGAAAGAAATAATGTGTGGATTTTTTAGATTTTCTTGTAGGTTTTAGCTGATGCTGGTAGAATTTGATTTTTCTCACAGTTACTTAGGAAACATTTTATCTTTTACCTAGGATATTTAATTTTATGGTTATTAATCAGAACATTAAACATGCAATATTTTAAAGTCCAGAATTTATGTTGAAATCTGTATTTGTATCAAAATCTATAATTTGTTGAATATAATCAAATTCAACTCCCTCAAATGTATATATATATATATTTAATTAGTTTAAAATAATCTAATCAATTAAAGACAATTCAGAGAACTGGAAATGAAATATATGACTGGAAAGGAAGACATGTTTGTTCATCCAACAACATCTCAACTCATTTGTAATTTGAAAATAATTTAGATTCATTCAGTTAAAAACATGATCAGAGATTAAGCAAGATAAACTAGTTCTCAGAATTGGGAATAATGGGGCCAGCGTCATATAAAAGACAGTGTTAGAGGATTCCAGCTTAATAAAACAAATTTCTGAAGTTCAATAACTCAGCTGTATACTAATTCAACTCTGTGAAGAGACAGGGTTGTGAAATACGAATTTGATTATCATATCAGCCTTTCATGCATACATATACATATATGTATGTATACTAGTTTATATATAAAGAGAGATCTGTGTAGATGTGTCAGGCAGGGTTCAGGTACAAAGAACTTAATTGTTCTAACTATTGGATTGTCAGAAAAGCCATGATACATGTTTGCTACAGATGGCACTAGTTCATTTTTGGAAGTACTAGAGTCATTCGCATCTATGTTATTTCTATGTCATTTGACAGCTGACAATTCTAGCTTCATTCTAAAAAATATTAAGGGATTTGGCTGAGTTTTGGAGATTTTACAAGTTGAAGATGGAAGACCAAACTATGCATTTTTGCCATATTTTACTGTTTTACTTCCATAAAGGGAAGATCGTGTGTCAAGCTTGTGAAAAGTTGCATCAAGTTTAGGGTGACAATGCTCTACAAGAACGTCAGTGCCAACGATGGTTCATGAAATTCTGTGCTGGTGATTTTGATATCAACCAGGCTCCTCCGTCAGGGAGGCCCACCGAGGTTGATGAAGGCAAAATAAAGGCATTGATCAAGTCAAACCCACGTTACACGACACGAGAGATTGCAGACACATTGAACATCCATCATTCAAGCGTTCACGACCACCTGAAGAAGCTGGGATACCTAAGCAAGCTCGATATTTGGGTTCCTCATGAACTCAAAGAAGTTCATTTGACAGTGCATATAAACATCTAAAATATGCTCATTAAAAATGAGGAAAATGATCCTTTTTTGAAGCGACTGATAACTGGTGATGAGAAGTGGATTGTTTACAACAATGTGGTGTACAAATGGTCTTGGTCCTCCCAACATGATGATTTGCCTCAAACGACATCGACAGCAGATATTCATCAGAGGAAGGTTATGCTTTCAGTGTGGTGGGATTTTAAAGGTGTTCTATCTTTCGAGCTCCTACTAAGGAACCAAACAATCAATTCGAATGTGTACTGTCGGCAATTGGACAGTTTGAACAAATCCATCATCCAGAAACGTCCAGAGCTTGTTAATTGTAAAGGACTTGTGTTCCATCACGACAACGAGAGACCACACACAAGTTTGATCACCCATCAAAAATTATTGGAGTTTAGGTGGGATGTGTTGCCACACCCACCATACTCACCTGACCTTTACCGTCAGACTTCCACTTGTTTTGTTCTCTTCAAAACTCCTTGCATGGTATAACATTCAATTCAGATGAGGCTGTAAATCAGCACCTTGTTCAGTTTTTCGCAAATAAAGACAGGCCCTTCTAAGAATGAGGGATTATGAAGCTCACTGAAAGATGGCAAAAGGTTATCGAACAAAACAGGCAATATATCATTGATTGATCTTTGTTCTTTATATAAATAAATGACCTTTGAAAAACATAGACAAAATACGTCATGACTTTTCCAACAACCCAATAGTTTTAAGTAAAAAGTGTTTCATTATAAGTATTAAATGGTTTTAAATTATTGAGTTAAATTAACAGACTCCAGGGTGATCTTTTAAGAATGGCTATTAAAGCCCAACTGAAGGATCAGCCACAAAGGAAGACACTGATATCTTCTAAAAGCAGGAAGCCACCAGCCCCAGAAACACCCTCCACTGCCATGGTTCAGAAGCCACCATGATCAGGATGGCACCACATTCAGGAAGCTACTGTAAATACGGAGGCCTCTGCTATCGTTGTCAGTTTCAGAATTTTAGCATGCTTGCTGCGATTTGCGCCAGCAAAATGGATGTCCTGTGCTCTGCTTCTTGACTCCTATAAAGCTAATGGTCAGACAGCAAGTCATTCATTAATGCTGCCACAGCAGGGGAAAGAAGGAAAAATAATGACTCCATTAGTATGCCTGCCAACCTCTGTCTCACTTCTGCATTCAAATGTTAGGCATGTGCATCTGACTGGCTGAACCTAAAACATATTCAGAGCCCTAACTGCTAGGGGGTCTTGGAAATACAGTTTTGTCTCTCCATCTTCTCAAGTACAGGAAGACACACTAAAATGAAGGTAAAATGGATGTGGGGTACTAATGTACCATATGCTTTTGGTTTTTGAACATCCATACACATGCTTTTCCCAATTCAACAATTCCTCAAAAGCAACAGTTAGCGATGATGATGTTTTATACCGACATAATGCAAGTATCTCTTATACAAATGAAAATGGACTCACCATCTCCCTAAAAGGGAGAGCCAAAGAAAGTTCCACTACTCAATCTGTCCACCTCAGGATGAAGGTTTATTCATCCTCTAATGAAGTACATTAGAAAGTTACTTACCCACAAAACACACTCTATATAAAATATCAGAAGAAATGAAGTGGCCCAAGTTATTTGATACTTATATTACAAAACAGTACAAGGAAAAGATGACTATTACAGTCTTCATTCATAAAACTTCACTTACAATTTGTAACTTCCTTCTCTACTCTTTTCTTAATCCCTTTGCCTTCAGCCAGCATCTAGGCTGATAGAGGCTTTTAATATAGTGTAGTAACTCAGTTTTGGCTTTGGTTTTTCTGAGAGATAAGAACCTGTAGTGACTTCTTATGGCCATGACAGGAAATGGCAGTCCTAGGCATGTTCCAGAATATCTCAAGTTTCAAACAAACCCCTCACTGCTCACATTGTGTAGTAGCAACTTTAGCTGAAAGAGAATCTGGAAACTGTGATGTTTGACTTTCTAGCCTGTGCAGTAGACAAAGCACATCCTCCTTGAAGGAGGATGAAACAGGTGCAGTGATCCACTTCTTTCATCACAGGAATTAATTGGGATAAAGGAACTACTCTTCCATTACCTTCACCACAGTGAATAAGGAGGGGTGAAAACTGTTCTTTTATGCACTTCTGCATGGTTAAGTTTTAGTGTCCAAAAGAGTTAAGCTTTAGGTAAACGGACAACTACTGAATCTCACAAAGGGATGAAGTTTGGTAGGAGACCAGCCCCATGAGCTCATAACCAGGAAAGATCATCTCAATGCACAAACTGTGCTTTGACATAAACCTCTTTCTGCCTCCCTTCCATAATCTAGCAACGTGACTTCTCTACATTCAGACCACTCCAAGTTATCATGAGTGTTGTCACCTCTTCTCTATTAAACCCATACGGTTTGTTTGATTTGCCTTTATGTGGGGCCAAGGAGGAAATATTCTTCATGCTTCTTTCTCAAATAGTTCATTCAAAGCTCCATGGCTTTGCATGGTAAATGGTTTTGATGACCAATGAGAGACCAGCACTTCTTCAATTTCTTTGAGTGATTCTTCCTTAATGTTCTTCAGGCTACTAGGCTACAAGGTAGCACCTTTTGTTGCTTTGCTGAGTACTGTCACTACAGATGCAAATTAGGCAATTTGCAGGTGCAAATCAGGCAGTGACTAAGACTGAGAATTTGGCCTCATTAGTAGGACCTGTTAATTGGATGATACAGGAATAATTTCCTACAGATGAGTGTGAGAAACAAACAAAACAAAAAGAGTTCAAATAATCACAAGCACAGGGGAAACTGAAAAGTTAATCTCTCATGTGATCATTTGTTGACAGGTTGGTTATCGGAAAGACATGGAACAAGAAGATGCAGCAGAAACAGTCAAAACTAGGGGGAATGAGTCATCTGTCATCCTGACAGGATTAGAAGGAAATACATTATATCACTTCACAGTGAGGGCTTATAATGGAGCTGGATATGGGCCACCTAGCAGTGAAGTGAGTGCAACCACCAAGAAATCCCGTAAGTGACCTGGGCTTTCTGTTTGTTTGAGACTAAGGGGAAACATCTTTTAAAATTTCTGAAAGCGACGTGAGGTACTCAGTAAGCCGAGTTGAAGGAGAGTTTTGATTCAGTATTGCTTCATTGCTTAGATCTGAATTCCAAAACTAGCTCAGAAAATTCTGCACTCACAGTGGATAAAGGTTATCTTCCTTTGAAACAAGGCTAAGCAATTTTGACACAAAAGGGAGATAAAAGGATTCAGGTTCAAAAGCTCAGTAGAGTAGCTATTAAAATGATACTCCTGGAGCAAAACCCTCCTTATCTGACTAGCTGGAAGGAAGCCTATGATGCCAACCAACTATTAAACGCATGAGAAGACTGAAATACTCAAAAGGCTTTAAGTGAGGAAATATATGTAAGACTCCTTGTCAGTTCTTTCACTTCTTTTTTTTTTCCCCCTTTTTGCAGCCCCTAGCCAAGCACCTAGCAACCTCAGGTGGGAGCAACAAGGCTCTCAGCTTTCTCTGGTCTGGGAACCTGTCAGACCATTAGCCAACGAATCTGAAGTCATGGGCTACAAGGTCAGTGTTTCTTCACTGTCTTGGATAGACAGTCATCTCAAAAGTTGTTATTGTGAGAGTGTACAATTAATAAGGTATAAAAAGACCCATTAACATACCATTTTTTTCTCGGTCATTTTCTACTGATATTTTAGAAAGAGCCTTCCTGCAGTGGGGAAGCCAAGGCAATTGAAATCAGTTTCAACTGCACAAGGCATAGGAAGGAAATGGGGAGGAAAAGCAATGATTTGAGTATAGGGCCCCGTGACATGGTATCAGAACCAGCAAAACATAGGCAGTGTGTCCTGGCATTCTCTCCCCACAGACAAACTGTGCTGGCAGATTGCAAAGACTGGACAACTTAGTTTGTAGAAAGACTTTCTACTAGCAAAGAAACAGAAGAAGAAAAACATGATAGGGCCAACAAACTGGATAGGAAGGAGTTCATGGAGAGAGACAGAAAGCTCTGAAATAGACATAATATTTCACATATGGTCATCTTTCTATGTGTCAGCAGGAGATCTGGAAATATGAAAACATTTAGACAGTTCTTGGAATACTTTATCTCTGATTTAAAAATATATGTGGCCTATATATTGAATTGGCTGAATTTCAAATTCTTGTTCCATAACATCAGATTCTATTTATTGTCTTAAATTCCATACAGAATTATTAGTTGAATATTATTTATAGCAGAATTAAAAAATATTTCAATGATAATTCTTAGACAGACTACTAGAGATGGTAACATGGCACTTGATATAGAAAGTGGTAAAATAGTGAAGCTAAAAACTGAAGAAGTTATAAATGGAATATATTTTTTAAGGTAAGTAATTTCCATTAGGAACATTTTAGACATGAACTGTAGCACTCTTACAGACTGTAATTGGTATGGGTCACAAACACCCTCACATTCAAACACACACACTCAAATCTGTCATAATCCTCAGGGGTATTGAATTTGATCTTTTGGGGGAGGGCAGGTGAGCCATTTTCCGAACCCTTTTCTTAGTCTTCTTTCCATACCCTTCCTCTTGTCCTCACAACTTGTCCTCTAAGGCAAATATACCCTTCAATGATTATGGGTAGCAGTATGGCCAATAAGGGTGATAGACCATCCAAGAACCAATCTAATATTAGAATTATGGCAAGCAACCTCCCAAACTGGAGTGGCAAATAGAACACAAGGAAGAGCTAGATGGAAGCATGTGGCTTCCTGGAAGAGTGATTTGGCTTAGGGACCTCTCAGGTGAGAAGACAAATACCATATGACCTCGAGAATACATGTGGTTGGACATAGGTGTCCCAGATGAGGTGACCCTACTCTTTGTTCACAGTTGTCCCTTCTGTCACTGTCATTGCTTTTTCCCTTTATATGTGACTGTCTCCCCAACCAGGCTATATGTGATTGAGGCAGGGACCCTGTCTTACTCATCTCTTTCTCCCCAGTGCTTCTAGAATGGATACACAAATTAATTTTGACCCAGCTAGAAGTAACCAGCAATATAGACAGATGTTTTTGTTTGTTTATTCAACTTAGATATCAGTTAGGGCCTTGCAGACTGCTGAGATACATGTATACTTGGATTGATATTGTAATCTACACTCTGTGAAATTTTGAAGCCCACTCCTATACTTCTCCAGCTTCTCAGGGAGCTTAAAGTCTATGGTCGTTCTAGACTCGTTGGTTTCTGTATCTTATAGCTTTTCTTCATCTTATATTCACTCTAAATGTGGAACTCAGCTTCTTTCCTGTGATTCCCATAAACTACAAAATTAAAAATATGTATAATGGCTTATACTGTCCTCTCTACATTTGATTATGCGTGAAAATTTTCATAATAAAATAATTTTTAAAAACTAAGAGAGGTCACTTACATAATGTCAAATATATATCAGAATTTATGGAAATTGTGGTGTGTGTGTGGGGGGGGTAGAATGAAAGACACGTAATCCAGGTAAACATCTAAAAATTTCCATAAGGAAGCCCTGTTTATTTTTTTATTTTTAGTTTTATTAACTATAGCCACCATTCTGTACATTATTTCCTCAGGACTGATTCAATAACCTATTATTTCTTTTTTAAAGTATAGTTGGTATTCAATATTATATCAGTTTGAGGTACACAATGCAGTGATTTGACATTTATATACCTTACAATATGATCACTATACTAAGTCTAGTAATCACCTGTCACCATGTAAACTTATTACAGTGTTACTGACCATATTCACCTTTACCTGTTTCACCCATGGCCCTACCCCCTTGCCTTCTGGCAACCGTCAGCTTGATCTCTGTTTCTATGGGTCTGTTTTGTTTTGTTTTAGATTCCACATATAAGTGAAACCATATGATATTTGTCTTTCTCTGTCTGACTTATTTCACTTAGCATAATATCCTTTAGGACCATCCATATTGTCATAAATGGCAAGAGTTGGTGCAGCCATTATGAAAAACAGTATGGAGGTTCCTCAGAAAACTAAAAATAGATCTACCATATGACCCAGCAATTCCACTTCTGGGTACTTAACCGAAGAAAACAAAAACATTCAATTCAAAAAAATATATGCCTTCCTATGTTCATTGCAGGAAATTTTACAATAGTTAAGATATAGGTACAACCTAGGTGTCCATTGGTGAATGAATAAACAAGATGCTGTTCTTAAGAGTGCTTTCAGCCACTCTATAGCCAGTGGCTTCTCACTGGTACTTGTGCTTTCCAACTTTTTTTCATCTAGATTTATTCATCTCACTGACTCCTCACCCACCCTTTGCCACTGGGGATTCAGAACCCTCGTCCTCTATTATGAAGAGCAGCCATCTCCATTGACTGTTCCCAGAATGCTCCACTGGTGAATAGGCCTTCCCTTTAATATAATCCATCCTTCTCTGGGGCATTTGTGGGTAGAACCAGCAAAAAATTTTCGGTTATGTTTTTTTAAGCATGCTCACCCCCGTATTTTGTTACCATCGGGCATATACTAGCCATTTCCAAATCAATCCTTTGAGTATCGCAGTACTGCATTAAATTTTTGTTTAGGAAAATCTCTTTGGCTAATCCACTGATCTCATTTTGTTAAGTAAAATTTTAGAATAGTCTTGACAATACATTAGACAATTTCTTTTATGCCTAAAGATAGCTGTCATCACAACTGCATATCTACAAATGTTCAGATTCTCAAAGTACTCCCTAACCTCCTTACTGTCAATTACTATTTCTGACATGTCTTGATAACTCCTTAACCTTCTCATATTTCTCATTCTCATTCATCTTTTTTAAATCAGGATTTTAAAATGAGCCAAGATTCTCTAAGGCACCTAAGACTAACCATGAATTTAATGTATCCTTTCACTTAGTATACCTACCTTCCGACTCAGCACTACATCTCCCTAGACATATTGATAAAAGCCACATTTAATCTCAAACTCCTTTTGCTACCATTAATTGATATTTTTCCTCCCTTTACCTTTTGTTCCTAAATCTCAACTGGTCCACAAATTTTTTCTTCAACTCTGGATTTTACAGCAAAATTAGATATGCATTACTGGCTGCATTTTTCTTTGTCATAAGAATTGTAATTTATAGATCCGTAATAACAATGTCCTCTAAAATAGTCACTCCCCTGCCAGCCCTCACCAATTTACATACCTTCCCATTGCCATAAATTTGCTTTCTAATTACCTCTTGTGGTGGATGATCAGAATTCTAATTCATTACACTGCTACAGTCAAAATGAGAAGCATAAATTCTGATACAATTGTCATTTTTTAAGCCAAAAAACCTCCTATAGGCATCCTCCAAGTGTTCCAAATCTTGACAAAGTGCTCACTCCGTGGATCGCTTTACCGTCAAATATGTTTTCTATTACAGTACATACCAACCACACTTCATTGTATTGTTATCTGTCTCCACTATTATATTAGACTGTAAGTGCCATAAGAGCAGAAACCATGTGGTCTTGTTCTCTGATGACCCTACACTATCTAGCACTATACCTGGCCCACCTGAGATGCCCAGTAAATGTTCAATAATGCTCTTATTACTTTACAACTACAGTACATTGAGGCTGTGGCTTCCTTTCCTATAAGGATTCCAGTAGATACAATTATTGCACGTGCTATATACTTTTATAGAGAAATTACTTATCTCCCAAGACCCTGAAGTAAATTTAAATCCATGGACAATAAAGGGAGTCAAATGGAGAGACATATGTTACCAGAATGTAGAAGAGAGGATCAAGTACAGACAGGCTTGAATATATAAAAATAAGGCTTTTCAGGGCTGGCCGAGTGGCTCAGTTGGTTAAGCTCGCTCAAGAATTTGAGCTCTGAGCAACAATGGTTCGATGACCGAGCTGAGCTGAGCTGCGGCTGAGCTGCCAACAGGTGGCAGGATGGCTCAGCTAAAAAAAAATTATAATAATAATGCTTTTATAAAGGTATTTTTTCTTGTATGTAGGGTAATTCAAATTCAAAACACATTTTTATAAGGAAAAGGTATTAAAAATTTTGTCTAGCTTCCCATGTCAGTCCCTCTTGTATTTTTCAAATGAAATACTGACCATTCACAGTTACCAATGATGAAGCAGAAGTGGCTTTCTCTTAGTGAGTTTACCACGCACCAGGTCCTGTGCTACGTGATTTACACATCCTCTCATTTTATTCTCCTAACAAAACCATTAAATGAGTGTTATTATCGCTACTCTATGGTACAGGCACTTGAGGTTTATAAAGGTTAGTAACTTGCCCAAATTTGCCCAAACAGGAATGTGTAGGAGATTGTTTTTATTTTGCAGGAGATTGTTTTGACTCTGTATCTCGATGACTGCAAAGCCATTGCTCTTTCCATTATGCAAAGCTATCACATTATAATACCAACAATTATGAAAAACACAAAAAGCAATTAAACTGAATAAAAATGCATTTAAATGTATCTTAACAGCTGCTACTTGACTATTAGACCAAAATAGTTTTTAAAAATGGTTTGTTGGAGGTAAATGAGTAGGAACAATACAATATAGTGAAACAGCTCTGAGCTGATCATCAAAGTATTAACCTTCAAATGTAATTTATACCCTAACTAGCCCCATGATCTTGTATAAATCACATAACCTCTGTGACCTTAATATTTTTATATGTAAACACAAGATAATGAGGATAACTCTGTGTCCTAATTTGTTCTGAAACTCTGCTATGAATACATGTTCAATACTAGTACCACAGACAGATACCTAAAAAGGCTGAATTTTGCTATCCAATGTATTCAGATATCAGTTCACCAAAAAGCAAGCAAGCACAAAATTAAAAATAGTTAATAAAATGTTTAACTTCTTAGCCATTTTCTACATTAAGGATTTATTATTGATATATTTATCGAATTTTCTTTTTAGCTCTTTCAAACAGTTGAAAGTATACTCCCTCAGTGAACTATTCATTTCAATAACCAGGAATAAAAGACTTTCAGTGATCTGCCCTCTTGCTACATACTTCTTTAGCCTCATTTCTCATGTGTCTCCCTATACGTCTTCTTTCCATTCCATACCCTACTGCTGTGGTTTCTTATTGCTTGGATATAAACTTTAATCTCCTCTTATCTCTTCCTAGAATCTTTCTCCTCCCCTTCTCCAACTGGGGGACTCTATTCATCTTAAATATTTAGCTCAGGCATCACCTTCTCTGTAAAGCCTTCCCTGACTTTCAGACAGAGCTAAACTCTCTCTTCTGTATTTCCATAGCATCTTATCTATACATCCATTGCAGCATTTAACACATATACTGCATTTGCTTATATATCTGCTTCCGCTATAAGCTCGCTGTACTTAACTCAGAGTGTGACATACAGTAGACAGTTAATAAACATTTGGGATCCTTAATTGAATATCAAATGTTTAAATCCCTGTTATTATTCCTAGGTTTTTTATAGGCAAGAGGGACACAGCAACAGTCAAGTTATTGAAACACAGAAACCTCAAGCAGTAGTACAACTCCCTGATGTTGGAGTCTATATTATTGAAGTTCGAGCATGTAGTGAAGGAGGGGATGGAACAGCTAGTTCCCAAATCAGGGTACCATCATATTCAGGTAAGTTTTGACATAATAGGTTTAATTTGATGACCACCAAAAATTTCAAGATGGTATAAACCTCATCAACATTAATGTGATGGATTACAGGGACCCTTTTTTCACTCTGCCATATCATCCTCTGATTAATATGAACCATGGTAGTCTGCCCACAATTGCAGAATTTCTACAAATCCAGAAAAAGTTGACATTTTCATTTAAATGTCCTTAGTTGTGAAATTTTCTTGCCTATCCTGGTCTCAAGCAGTGCCTTCCTGGCCGTTTGGGTTTTGAAATATTGCTTTTAAACTGATATTGCTCTACTTTTCACTGCTCTTTTTCTCCAAATGGCTGTCTCCTTTTCATCTAAGTTTCAGCTTAACCAAGAAGCCTCACTTGTCCACTTCACTAAAGAAGCCATCCCTCCCTTAATGGAGAGTGAGGGACAGGAAAGTTTAAAGGGAATGCTTTTTAAAATTTCATCATCTTTATTGATTTCAAAATAAATTACAAATTTTATTGAGCATAATTTTTTGTCCTTTTCCAGCTTTATTGAGATATAATTGACATATAATGTTGTGCAAGTCGAAGGTGTACAATATGTTGATTTGATACACTGATATATTGCAAAATGATTACCACCATAGGGTTGGTGAACACCTCCATCACATCACATAACTGCCATTTCTTTTTTGTGATGAGACCATTTAAAGTCTACTCTCATAGCAACTTTCAAGTATATACTACTGTGTTATTAACTAAAATTCCATGCCGTACATTAGATCCCCAGAAATTATTCAAGCATCATTGTCATTGTTAGCAATATTAATAATTTCTAGCTTTTACTAAGCCCTTACTATATGTCAGGCATGATAATAAGTGCTTTACATACATCATCTTATCTAATCTTAGTATCAATCATATGAGGTAGGTGGCTTTACGTATTCATATTTTACAGATAAAATTTAAGTAACTGCTCTAAGATCACACTATTACTAAGTGGACGGACCAGGATTCAAACTCAGGTATGCTTGTCCCCAAGGCCACATATTTTCACCACTACCATCATTATTACACCCGCAAGGGAAAACTGATTACTAGAAGGGAAGATTTCACAAATTTGGAAGGAAGTACCATTTCATTGACATAGTCAAAATAGGAAGCAGAAAATTTAATTAAATATGCACATGTTTCATTAAGAAAGTATCAGGCAATTTTCATTAAAGCCTGTATAAAAAAAAAGTGTAATGATCATTTACTTAATGGGTAATTGTAAGCATTATTTATTGAGCAGTCATTCCCAAGCAGAATTGTTAGCCTCTGAAGAGAAGTATCCAGTGATATCCTGTATGATCCTGTATGTGGCTCTACTATATTCAACATATTTATCTATTTGGATTAAGACCAGAGACATTGCTTATGAATTTTTTTGGTGCCACAAAGTGAGATAAAGGGCAAATGTAAGAAAGAAAATAATAAAATAGACTGAAACTTTAAGAAAAAGCTGTTGACATGATACTTGACAAGTAAGTTCTTGCATAAAAACACAAGATGAGATAAAGGATATTATTGGGACAGTAGATAAAATTTGAAGAATGTCTGTAGATTAGATAATATAGCAACATTAGTTTCCTGTTTTTAAGCATTGTACTGGGTTATATAAGAAAATATGTTATTTTTAGATACTATGCACTAAAGTATTTAGGAGTAAAGTTACATGATGTCTGGCAACTTTCAAATGGATCAGGAAAAATGTATACATTTAAAGAGAGAATAATAAAGGAAGAGTAATAAAACATAAGTATTTAAGGAATTGAGATGAATTTTGTTCTATTCTTACAACTTTTTTGTACATCTAAAACTATTTCAAAATGAAAAGATTAAAGGTTAAAACCATAAAATGCAGGAAATCTGACTTTTTCAGAAATTCAAAAGAAAAGACTTAAGAATTTAAATATATAGTGGCCACACAAAAACTTAATACACTTTATGATTCATTTATAAAAGAATAGTTAAAGAGCAAGAAAAGTAATAATGTCTCTACATTGATGAGTTCACAATTGAATTGTTTAGATGTGAGTGTTAAATCTTCCAGAATACCTAGAAAGACTAATTATTTCGAAAAGTGAAAAAGATGACAACTCTCCTCTTTGCTTCATAATCTCAAATTTCTAATAACAACAATACAAAGAGCCTTTACTGAGCCCTACTTATATTCTTTGCATTACACTAGGTGTTTTTCATATATGATTTCATCCTTACAAAAACCTCTTGAGTTAGGGATTTTAGTATTCTCTGACTCTCCAAGGTTCCTTTCAAACTCTAACACAATCAAATTCTAAAGTGTCATCTCAATAAGATCAGCCCCAAGTTTGGAAATACGTATAAAGACCTTGATTATCCCATTTATATTTTAATTAACTCGAAATTCTATTTTTTGTGTTAAAAAAAGGCAAGTTTGTTCTTTTTTATTGTTAGTTTCAGGTGTATAAAAATAACATAATGATTAGACATTTACACACCTCACAAAGTGATAACCTCCTGAGTCTACTACCCATCTGACACCATACATAGCTATTACAATACCATTGACAATATTCCCTATGCTGCACTTTACATCCTGTGACTACATGTGTTTATTTAATCAACTTCTGTGTTTCAGTTCAAACACTTTGGCCAGTGCAATCCTTTTCTGAGTTTTAATAAAGTGTAATCTCATAGTATTGTCTATCTTTGACCATCAAATATGAACAATGATTGCTTTTATTCCTATTTTCCAATAAAATATTATTCCTATTTTCCAAAAACTAAAAGCCTAAGAAGTTGAATGAATTGTTAAAGATTTAGTTAGTTTTACAGCTGTGACTAGAGCTTACCAGTGCTGTCTTGTGTTTTGTTTTGTTTTGCTATACCAAAATAATGTGTTTTTGCTTTGTGGATTCTATGTGGAATTTGAGATATAGACCTACTTAGTTAGCAATCTATAAGTGAGATATTTTTGTAAAAGTATCATGTAAGTTGATTTAAAAGGACACAGACACTCTTAAATAATTGGAAAGGATGTTTTCAGTTTTTATTTATTAAGCATGCATGCACCAATCTAGCAAGGTTTTATCCTCATGCCTTTCTTATAGCTCACATGTGGCCACACACGTCACAATAATCCCATTTTGTACAAGTCAAAAATATATGTAACATTCTCCAATATGTTGATTCATAGGTTCTAGTAGTGCCTTAGCTGTAAAAATTTTCAAAGGAAATAAGAGTTGTTGCTTTTGTATGTGTGTGACTTACCAAACAAATGATTCTTCAGCTTTTAAATAAAGATCTGGAAAATGAATTTGACTCTATTTTTATAATGAAAATCACACCCAAAATCCTCTAATACTTAATATGTCCAGAAAGGACAACCTAACAGAAGAGTGATTCCAAAAATTGAGTAGTAGATTTTTTTATTAATCTATCATTAAGGTTTTAAGGTTTTAACCAAGGCCAATCATTGTTTTAAAAAAGACAATACATAGAGCATCTGGCCCCACTAACCCCTAACTCAGTGACTGTAAGCAAGCTCTATAACCTTTCTAAACCTAGTTCCCTCATCTGCAACAAGAGCATAAATAATAATACTTACTGCATAGGAATGTTGTGAGGATTAAATAAGATAATATGTATAAAGGGCTTAGTACCATGCATCACATGTAGTAAACATTCATTAAATATCAATCATGATGATGATAGTTCAGAAGACTTTTGGCGTGAAGAACCATTCCTGAAGTTAAATAGGAGAGTAGCACTTAACTTGTGATTATGTAGAGCTATCAAAAACTTCACACTAATCAACTCAGATCAGTCAGTTCAATCAAACAATGACCCTAATTCATTAACTTCATACAGTGTATTGGTCTCAAGAAGGAATAGCTTCTCCTGGTTGTAAGAGTGATGAAAGACGACTCTCCTTTGCCAACTTTGGCATGAGAATCTAGAGTTTAAGCCTACTCAACTGAAATGTCGAATCAGTCAAAGACTCTTCAATAAATTAAATAATGTTATTATTAAATTGAAAAAATTGACTGAAGTAACTAAATTACAAATTCTTATTGCCACAAACTTTTACTAATTATTTTTGTTCCATTGCCTCAACTACACACTATAGAATTTCTTTAATTTTTCATACCTGGAATGTGGGATTTTTCCATCAGTGCATCATTGGTAAAAATTACACTGAATCTCCTGGTTAGATGTATTTGTTAGATGTGACATAGCCTTTTTAACACTGTATTTCATATATACTTCTGCCCTCCATAAATCTTTTGGGAGCCCCAAACAATGTCTTCTTTCATAAATACTAGGAACACTCTCAAGAAACAGGACAATCGTCACACTCATTTTCTTACACACCTAAAAACAACTCTTTCCTAGCTCTAGCAAAACAAAATAATTTTCTCCATTTAATGATTCTCTTTCTTCACAGGTGGAAAAATCACTAGTGCTCAATCAACCCTCCACACTCTCTCTACGTCTTCATCATCAGTAACATTGCTCTTGGCATTGATGATCCCTTCAACATCTTGGTGAAAACTGCAGACTTAATTTTCTTTTCCTTGCTTTCCCTTGATAATAGCGATGAATAGTGTAGTGTAAGTGAAGACCCAGGACAATGAGATAAGCTTTAAAAACTTGGGACTATACATGGTGCACTTACAGGAGGTAGGGGGTAATATTACTTATCCATCAGGTTTTTCTTTGGTTTTTCTAAATGGAGAGGACAGTTCTTGGTCCAAAAAAATATGCAGATTGTATGTAATTAATTTTTTTAAAGCAAAGATAATTTCTGTCAAATGTATTCTTTACTTTTTTAATATGTTGGAATTTGATTTTTATATCTGATAACCCTGAGCGTGTGCCATCCATTTCCTAAGTGACTGGTTTCTAGCAGATCTGCTCCAAACACAAATACAAAACCAAGAATGAAAAGTTTGGTTAAGACTTTGAGTCTATTGTTTTTCATTTTCCCTTTGACTGACTACTCCAGTTGACAAAATGGTAGGAGATATGAAAAAATACTTCAGTTGTGTGATTCATTATAGGATAAGTACACAAAAATGTTCTTGAAAAATATTGTATGACTGCATAGTGAAATAGCAAAATTTGTCAATATGCTATTCTAAATGCATCCCTAGAGCAAGTTATTAGGGTAGGGAAAAAGCCATTTATATTAGTGCAAGGTAAATAGAAAGTGAGTCCAAATGAATTTAAGTGCTATTGTTTTTCATCAAGTACTATGTTATCTAGCTGCAAATATAGTAAATGTTTATTTTTAATAACAAAAGGTAGTTTAAAGTCACAAAAAATATGATTACTAAAAACTGCAGACACTGACTTGCTTCCAAGGGTGCTAACTTGTAAATGAAATGAATACAGTACATTTCCGCATCTACTGCCAAAACACATGTTGAATTAGGTTCAAGGTTTTCTTCTACTTGCAAATAATTTGAAGGACAACAAAAAATTGTTGTGCAAATAATTATACATACATAAAGTTTGTGGATTAAAATGGTTCAACCATAACAAATAAATTTTGATTTTTTTAAACAGTCCCATGCATCACAGCTTATAAAATCTTACCACCTGTTAAAATAAAGAATATCTCTCCAATAAATTGATTTTTGTAAATTAAGCTGTGGAAACATGGCCTCAGTACAAGGTGAGCCCCATTTACTATTTTGAGAAGTCAACCTGAACCTAATTGATCCTAGATAGTTGTTGGGAAGTGAGGTGAAAGTTTTCTACTTAGTGATATCTTACAGAAGTTCTAACCAACATGGGAACTTGCCAGAGTTTGCATCACACCCAAGAAGATGCCTGAAGGGGTGGTTATTGCAAAGTCATATGCCAAAAAACAGCCTAGAGAAACTAGTTTTACAGGTGATATTAATATGAGAACAAAAAGTAATTTCTTTTTTTTTACAAAATCTAAACCTGTTAATTCTACTTGCCTCTTTAACAGTAAGCAAATGAAGCAATATTGAGCTCAAACCACTCGCTCTAGAATCCTGTAGACTCAGAGGAGAAACTGGAGTTTCTAGTCTGAATATCCTAAAAGATTGGGTTCAGAGCCACAGCAAAACTATTTATGTTGGTTACTCATTCTGTTTGGGGGGAATTATGTCCAAGACACACCTAAACAAAAAAGAAGTAATTTAAAAGACTATTTTAGTTAACAGATTATTGTATTAAATTACTACAGAGGGTGAATATTGAAGCCAGTGAGTAATAATGACCAAGTGGCCTTCCTTGAGCACCTCCTTTTGGAGTGGGAGAGGCTGGACTTTGCAGATGGAGGGATGCTAACTATTTAACAGGCAAAATATGAGCTTTCCCAAGGACAGTATAGCTTACAGGAGCAAATTGTACATCTGGCAAAAAAAATGCAGCAAGAATATTAAAGAATGGGCAATAATTTTTACTTCGTATTTGATGAATCAAACCATTTTCTTCCTTTTCCATGGTGTTTTATACTAAACTTAGTGAAGAACTTTAAGAACCAAGTTATTACTGAAACTCTTATAAAACAAAGCCCAATAAAATACAATGTTAGTATATGGCAAATTCAAATTAAACAATATTTCCAACTAGCTGATGGATGGTATATATCTGACAGAATATTTAAATATAGAATGTCTGGTGTTGTATTCTTACAGGAATCAAAGATATGTGATGTTTTTATTCAACATGCACAGATTATGTATTTTGCATCATAAACCTATTAAAAACAGTTTTTAAATGTTTATGTATTTATGTATTGCATATTTGTTACTTTGTAGAACACAAAATAGCATTCCCTATCAAGGTACGTTATTTTTCAGCTGCAATATTGAGTGAGTTGGTTTTATTTTTTTCTTTTGGATGGGATAATAACCGCACAGTCTTAAATCACTAAAGAGACTGTATTTTTGTATAATGTCAATTGAACTATGAAGAAGAAAAAAAACACTTCTCATAATTAAAAATTCCATGAAAGTGAATGTTTTTCATACCCAAATGAAGGTACTGTGGTTCCCATGTCAAATCGTTAAATATATTGTATACAGTCTGTATATATGTACCATATATAAGGGTATATACTATGTGGAAGGCACAGTCAGATAATAATTCTGTGTACTGTTCTTGTAACATTAGATCTTTTTAATAAATAATTCTCTTTTTATTGACTTTTATCTTCTCTCCTGTCAACTACATGAATGACATTATTTATTTCATGCAAATAACTCTATGCTCATGATTATGGTAATGTTTCACACTGAAAATATTATGTTAGTTCTGTTATGATTTTAGGTTCAACAGTCTCCAGAGATGTCCATGGTACTTTCAACTTGACAACTGGAAGCTATGACAAAGAATAAACCAAGCAATGAAGCAAGTACAAATGGAATAAATTCAGAATTAAACTCATGATTTATTTCTTCTCAGGAAGAAATTATTAAATGAGTTTTGTAGAGTTAGTTAAGTGCATATTTCTGCTTCTAGTAGAAATCCCATTCTATTTGTATATCCCAATCTATTTCAGATAAAATTATCCTAGACAGAGTTATTCAGTCTTTTGTGCTCCCATAGCCCTGTGTGTACATCTCTATTATACCAGCAGCCACAAGATGTTACAATTATTTGTTTAAGAGTGTTTCTCCCCCACTATCTATGTTATATTCATCTTAGGACTTCTCTCACCATTGCTCAACACAACACCTTACACATATCAAGTGAGCAATTAATTGTATTTAATTTAACGTTGGACTTATTTTTTTTTTCTCCTTTAGAACAGTCTTCCCAAACCTTGTTCATCATCCAAATCACCTGGGAACCCAAATCTCAGAGTTCTGATTCAGTACGTCAGAGACTAAGGAACCCGTATTTTCAAAATCTTCTCAAACACAAAGTAATATAACGCTATTGAAGAGAATTTGGCAATAACTAGTAATGTTTTGTATGGATGTATGCATTGACCTAGCAATCCCATATTTAGGTATCTATTTCTAAGAAAGACTAGTAAAAATATGCAATGTTATGTGAATACACAAGGTGTAGAATAGTGATTATTTGCTCACTTTTGTGTAAGAAGTGGGAAAAACAGACATATATTTCCTAATATTCTCTAAAGGAAATAATGGAAGAGTAAACTAATGACTTATAAAAAATGCTACCTACTGAGGAGGGAGAGAATGAATATATGAACAAACATAAGCTCTTCTTCAATGTATTTATTCCATAGTTTTGACTTTGGAAGTATATAAATGTTTTACATTAATTTCAAAATGAAACAAAAAGAAAAAAACAAAGCAACCACCAAACATAAGAATAAATGGAGGGCGAGCCGAGTGGCTCAGTTGGTTAAGAGCTTGCATAAGAGTGTGAGCTCTGAGCAACAGCGGTTCAATGCCCGGCCCGAGCTGAGTTGCCGCTGAGCTGCCAACAGGTGGCAGGATGGCTCAGCTAAAAACAAACAAACAAAAGAGTAAATGGAAAATAATGAAACTACCTGTATATAAACCAGATGGTTGATAAGCTAGTTTTTCTTTATAGAACAGTTTTAACCTCATAGGTAAGTATTTAAAGTCAGCATTTTTACAGTACATCCTCAGGGCATATGTACCAAGAATAAAACATACACACACCAAAAAAAAATAACTACATTCATTGGTGTTCTTGTGAGTAGCATAACTAGTAGAATTACTTTTAATTGGCCAATATAAATATAAATATTAAAAGTATTAAAAAGGTAAATCTTGAAGATAAAAGAGATATATAAAATTTCTAAGTAAAATAAAACCTGTAATCTTTGAATTAGAAATACCAGTATGAATTGATAGTTTAACATTTTTCTTAAAAATAACCTATTTTTTAGCTTTGTTAACTGCAAAGGGTTAGACCAGAGATCAGCAAACTTTTGAGATGAAGAGCCGCCAGGGGTCAGCAAACTGCAGCTCACGAGCCGCAGGCTCTGAAGTAAAATTGAAAATGAAAATAAAACTATCATAATTTCATTTATAAAAATTTTAAAGGATATTCACATAATGGTGATTATGTAAAAATATATTTATGGCTCTCAAATAATTTTTAAATTGTTGTGAGGGACAGGATTGGCTCTTCCAGGGGTCGGCAAACTTTTGAGATGGAGGTACCCAAAGAGCTGCATGTGGCTCGCGAGCCACAGTTTGCTGACCCCTGCTCTAGAGGAACAATGAACACCCTTAATGGAAAAATAAAAATAATGAATAAATAACACAGAAATTTTTGCCTCCAAATTCCATTCACAACTAAAAGGAAATTTCTTGAAGAAATGATTTTAAGATCTCAGGTAGGAAATGGACAAGATAAGCCTGGGTCTTCTTGTTGTGCCAGTAAAGACTGCCATGGGATAACTTGAGCTCAAAAAGAACATTGACATCAATGGATTGAAACACATGTAATATCTAAAATTCTATGATTTAAACTAATATGCACACAAATCTTTAGTTATCTTTTCTAGATTCAAGAGTCATCATTCTGAGAATTGTTATAAAAATATGAAGAGGGAAAGAAATACCCTGCCTTTCCTGTAAGGACTGTGTTTTAGGATAATCAAATAGCTGATGAAGGATAGTTCTACTTTGTAAATGAATAACAGCTAATAAATGCAAAAGGAATAATGGAATTAAAAAATAATCAAGTGGGGCCCTCTTCAGTATGATGATCCAGTTTATTTCATGGGTCAATAACATGGGGGTGGGGGAAGAAGGGAGGAGTGGGATTCTTTTTTAAATGAAACTTAAGAAATGTAAAATGCAAACACCCTGTTCAAATTCTGATTCAAACGAATTGTTCATAATAAGTGATATTTGTTAAACAACCAGGGAAAATGGAATATGGACTAGATAGAATATGACATACTAATTTTGTTAGGTATGATAATATATATATATATATATATATATATATATATATATATATGAAAAAGATGTGCAATGACATGATGGCAGGGATTTACTTTAAAACATCACAGAGGAAAAAAAGAAGAAGAAGGAAGGAAACAAGAGAAAGAAAAGTTTTCTTTAAGAAATAGACATGCATCTAGGAACACAGCATCAAACTACATGAGGCAAAAAATAATAGAACCACAAGGAGAAAAAGACTAATCCACTATAGTTGGAGACTTTAATACCCCTCTATCAGAAATGGACATACCCAGCAAACAGAAAATCAGTAAGTACATAGTTGAACTCAACAATACCATCAATCAACTGGATATAATTGACATTTATAGATTACTTCATCCAACATCAGAGGAATGCACTTTCTTTTCTGGCTCACATGGGACACTTACCTAGATAGACCACAATCTGGGCCATAAAATACACATGAGCAAATTTAAAAGAATCCAAGTCATACAATATCTGTTCTCAGACTACAATGGAATTAAACTAGAAAAAAAATTTTGAAAGATAACTGGAGAACCTCAAAATATATGGGTATTAAATAATACACTTCTAAATAACATGCATGAAAGAAGAAATTTCAAGGGAAATTTTAAAATATTTTTAACTAAATTAAAATAGAAACACAACGTGTTAAAACTTGTGGGATTCAGCAAAAGCAGTGCTTATAAATTTATAGCATTGAATGCATATATTAGAAAAGAAGAAAAATCTAAAATAAAAAATCTAAGTTTTTACCTTAGGAAACTAGAAAAGAAGAAAAACAAAGTAAATACAAAATAAGCAGAAGAAAATAAATAATCTGAATTAGAGCAGAAATCAATGAGATTGAAAACAGGATCAATGGAGAAAATCAACAAAACCAAAAGTTTGTTCTTTGTAAAGATTAATATGACCAATATGCTTCTAGTCAGAATAGCAAAAAAGAGAAAGGGTACAATTATTAATATCAGATATGAAAGATGAGACATCATTTTAGATCCTATGAACATTAAAAGAATAATAAAGGAATATTATGAACAACTCTATGCCCACAAATTTGATAACCTGGATAAAATGGATCAATTTTTTGAAGAGAGAAACAGTTTACCAGAACACATACAAGAAGAAATAAGACAATCTGAATAGGCCTATATCTGTTAAAGATATTGAATCAATAATTAATAATCTTCCAAAATAGAAACCACCAGACCCAGATGGTTCACTGGTGAATTCTACCAAACATTTAAGGGAGAAATTTTACCAATTCTCTACAATCTCTTTCAGAAGATAGAAGCCAAGGGAATACTTCATAATTCATTCTATGAGGCCAGCATTACCCTAATACAAAAACCAGATAAAGACATTACAAGAAAAGAAAACTACGTAGAATTCAGCAATGTCTAAAAAGAATTATACACCACAACCACGTAGGATTTACCCCAGTATGCAAGGCTTGTTCAACATTCAAAAATCAATTACTGTAATTTATTACATCAAAAGGCTAAGAAAGAAAAATTAACACGATTCTACCAATATATGCAGAAATAACATTTAACAAAGTCCAAAATTCTTTCATTATAAAAACTCTCAGTAAACTAGGACTAGGAGTAACTTATAAAACATGATAAAGAATATCAACAAAAAATCTACAGTTAACATCGTATTTGGTGGTGAGAAACTAGAGCTTTCTGCTAAGATTGGGAACAAAGCAATTATGTTTCATATTACTACTCCTTTTCACCATTATACTGAAGTCCAAGCTAATGGAATAAGACATGAAAAGAAAAGTATACGTATTGCAAAGGAGGAAATAAAATCATCTTTGTTCATACCAGACATAATCATCTATGTAGATTTTTTAAAATAATCAATTTAAAAAAACTGAAACTAATCAATGATAGCAAGGTTGCAGATCATGAGGTCACTATTCAAATTTAATTTTTCCCCTATATACCAGCAATAAACAAGAGGAATTTGAAATTAAAAACACAATACCATTTACATTAGCACCCCATAAAATGAAATGTGTACACAATCTATATGAGGAAAGCTATAAAACTCTGATGAACAAAATCAAAGAAGAACTAAATAAATGGAGACCTATTGTATGTTCATCAACAGGAAGACTCAATATTATCAAGATGTCAGTTCATCCCAACTTGATCTATGGATTCAATTCAATCTCATCAAAATCGAAAGC